TGCCGCCGCATAACCACCCGGCCCGCCCGCGCTTACCTTCAGCTCCCCGTCCCGCGGCCGGTCTCCCTCCTGCCTGCTCCTTCCGCCCTCCCCCCCCCCCCGGCCTCGCCCATCCACGGAGGTGGGGGACTGCTGGTGGCGGGGAGAGGAGAGCGAAGGCACGTCAGAAGAAAGCCGGTCGGTGGGAGAGCCCCGACCGAGGGGGAACCAGATCGCCGACCCTTCGGGAGACGGACAGGGCTGGGGCAAGGGAAAAACTTGCGTCATTCCGGAATTCAGGCGGGAGGGACACGGATGTATAAACCTAGCTGACTCGGGTGCGAAGGAGAAGCGGGGGAGGGCCCAATGAAAGGTCTTGATCGCGCTGTTGTTTTCTGAAAAGCAGGAAGGAGGAGTGGCGAGGCAAAGGGGATGCCTCCCAGGGGTCTCCAAGGAGAATGGGGTGGCTTCGCTCAGTTTGCGGGAGAGCAAACATTGCGGAAATCGCCAAGGCTTTTTAAAAGGAACATCAGTACGACTCAATCCAATCAGTATGGAAGGGTTTCGGGTGCGGCTGAGAGGTCGAGGGGCCGAAGACGAGCCTGGATGGCTACAGGAGCGTGGGATGAGGAAGGGTGAAAGGAAGCAGGCGGGGAAGGGGAAGCTGAAGGGGAGGGGGCCAAGGCTGCGGTTCCCCAGCACTCCCTGCCAGCAGGGGCGGTGGGTGTGGGGACTGCAGAGCGATCTGCCGCTTCTGCTGCTGTTGCGCTGCTGGGGGAAGGGGAGGCTGCTCCTTTGCCCCTTCCAGACAGCCACCTGCACCGGTAGCTCGGGGCGGGGGCAAGCGGGGGCGGGGTGATAACTGGGCCAAGGGAAGCAGGACCTGTTCGTTCCAAAATCACTTGAAGGAGGCAGGGGCAAAAGGATCGCACTGAGCCTACGCCAAGTCTATCACCGACGCCAGGAACCAGGTGAGGCAAAGGAGAACCCCGTCCCATGAAAGGAGGATTTCATTCTGTTGAGGGGGGGGGCAGAACGTCCCCTCCCAGATGATTGGGCTGAAAGAGCGAGTGACTGGAACGGGTTGGCAAGAGACAATAATACTGCCGGCAGCAATTCATTTCAAACGAAGAGCCACCCCCACCTCCGCCAACACACTCCATGGAGAATGCAGGAGGTGTGAGTGTACTCAGGGCCCTCGGGCGGGGCGGAGGTGCCATCTTCCTTGGAGCAATGCCTCTCTATGGCGCAGGGAACAGGAAGACTTTGGCACTCCCCAGCCCCTAGGATCCTTGCAGCCATTCCGTGGCCGTTCTTCTGAGTGTCACTCAGACCTTGGAGACCTCCTGCCCAGCCTTTCCCCATGGCCAGCCCTTGTGAGTGCGCACAGGCAGAAGGCATTTGGACAAAAAGGGCCGGGGAGACTGCTTGGTGGCAGGCATGGGGCATGCCCTCCCAGAGTCAGTCCAAGATTAATGTGCAGTGCAGACTGCTCCCCTCTAATTGTGCAGCTGGCAGAAATTGCTCCAGCCAACCATACCAAGCAGCTAGCTGGGGGTGGTATGAGAGAAGAGGTGGCCATCGAAGGGGGGAGCCAGGCTCACCTTGCCTCTGAGGGGAGCAGCGGGCCCAGCCAGCGCCTTCCTTCCATGGTTCTGGGACTCGCAAGAGGTCAGCCAGGGTCTGTTGCTTCTGGGTCCCATCAAGCTCTGACCTTCTCCCTTGTCTGTCTCCCCCCCCACACACAGATCGTCCAGCTTTGCATCATGATGCTTTGGCCCCAGTCTCTCCGCAGCGGTGCGTGGCTTCTTTCTCTCTGCCTCTTGACTCAGTGTCACCTCCAGCTGGCTGCCCCCCTTTCTCAGGGGTTGGAGGGCCACTTGGGTAAAGCTCAAGAAGAGTCCAACAAAGAAACCCCACTCCGTTCATGGCCAGAGATGGACCCAGATGCTGGGAACCAGAAGGGCAGCAGAGAGGAACTTTTCCAAGACATGGACCCCAAGGCCCTTGCTGCTGTCCTCCTGCAAGCACTTCAGATCACACCCCAGAACTCCAAGGAGTTACCCCTAAGCCCCAAACCCAGTGCCAATGAGGAACGAGTCCAGAGTGAGACCAAAGGCTCTGACGTGCAGCCAGGGAGACAGCAGGGCTGGCAGCCCAGAGACCAGCCTCAAGAGGAGGAGGCAAAGGAAGCTGCTGAAAGCATCTCTGACGGGCGGGAGATGGAGAGCCTGAAGTCCATGCTAAAGGAGCTGCAGCACTACAGCCCCACCAGTAAGAGAGAGGAACCTTCTCACAGCCGCCCAACATCCCCCTCTGAGCCTTCCCAAGGCACCCACCCTGATGACATGCTCAAGGAACTGGAAGAGTACCAGCAACTCAAGAGCAACATTAAGCGCAAGGCACCACTCCATGAGTCCTGGGCTGGAGCCCGGAAGCTGAGACAGCAGCAGCACCTTGAACATCAACTCTTGCAGCGTCGCTATGAGGAGCTGGCTGAGAGCCGGAGGCAGGCTGAGGAGGCCCGCCGGGCTGCGGCTGAGGAAGAACGCCTGGCAGACATGGCCTCTGATCTGCTCCTTCAGTACTTGCTGAAGGATGGAGAAGAAGATGAAGAGGGACAGCAAGGGGCCAATGCCCAGGAGGAGTCCGAGGAAGAAGGAAGCAAAGGGACCTCCCTCCTCTTTGAAGATGTGGAAGACAATGTAGCTGAAGACAAGAGGTCCAATGAGACCCCAGAGGTGGAGGATGATGAAGACATAGACCCTAACACCATTGATCGCTTGATCGAATTGTCCAGCAAGCTGCACTTGCCCGCGGATGATGTCATTGATATAATTAATGATGTTGAGAAGAAGAAGAAGGAGGAGGTGCCTGAGTCCAACAGCAAGAGCAAACTGTTGGTGGCTCCATTGCACAGCAAGCCCAAGAAGACACCTCCTTACCCCAGTGCTCACCAAGAGGCCCATCCCATTCCCAAGGCGTTCTACCCCACTGCCTTTCAGTCTTACCACCACCTCCCTAAGCAGGAGGAGGCTGCCTGGAACGAGGTCTTGAAAGGTAATGAATTCCCCGCACCCAAGCGGTACCAGGCCAAGGACAGAAGCACCAAGATCTCCAACCACATCAGCCCCCGGACTTTCCAAACTCCAGTCTACCACCACTACCACCACCTGCCTGGCCCCATGGTGCCACGGGATGGCTATTATGACATCCAAGCCCATGATGAGGACCTAGAGAACTACCTAGAGAGCCTGCTGATGAAGCACCCCAAAGTTTTCTAGTGAAGGTGGCAGCTGTTGCTTCTCCTCCCACTCCTTCCCCACCCAAAGAAACTTGGCCACTCACAGTGTTTCTGACATAAATCTGGGTTCTTGCATGATTCAGGAGAACCAAGTCTCCCCACCTAGCGAAAGGTCCCAATAGACAATGTCCAGGTGCAACCAGCTACTGGTGGCATCAAGGAAAGCAAAACCTTCCCTTTCACCTGATTTCAGACAGCTGCCCTCCACTGGTCAAAGGAGAGCTTTCTTTCCTCAATATCCAGTTTAAAGGACCCTCTCCCGTGAGACCATTCCCCAGAGGCACTGTAAGACCCCTGAAGGAACTGCAGCAAGAGACCTTTGCAAGAGCAAACAGGACAAATCACAGGCACTTTCTTCCCAGGGCAGCTTCAGGTGAGAATGCCAGTTGTACCATGACTCCTTGGAAGCTCTTGGTTAAATTAACCTTCCCACCCTGTTTGGCAGAACTCTGATAAATCCACATTTCATAGCACTCCCAGAAAGAAGTTTCAGAAAAGAATTAGGGGAGAGAAGAGGTGGAGGTTATGTGCTACAGCCCCCAAGTTGGTGCTGGCAACAAAGACTGCCCGCTGGGGCTGAACATCAACCTTCCAAATAATCTCTACTCACTTACCCTCCCATGCCCAGGACAAACTCCTTTGCCTCCCTCCCCTCCAGGTTTAGCAAGGCAAACAAGCAAATCTAGATCACAAGAATGTCCAGGATGGGGTGGGGCTGATCCTGAAGTATGGATTGCAGCCTCGGTCAATTCCAGTCAACTCTAGATGGCGACTTTGAGGGGCAGGGGGTATATTCTGTCTTCAGGAGACAAGGATAGAGCAGCTGATTAGGTCAAATTCTGGACCGCAGGCTTCCCTGAAACACCATTATTGGGCTGGGGGTGGGGGGATGTCCAATAGAACAGCCTGTTACTACCTGCTTGTTATCACAGTCTAATTAATGAGGATAAGTCAAGTCCTGTGAGTCTTACGCTGTAGACTCTCCATGCTGGCTACAATCACACTCAAACCAACATGAAAACTACAAGTGGCTTAAGGAACAGCTGGTTGGGATCCTTTTCCCTTGAATATTCCAAGGTAGCAAGAGAGTGCCTTAGGAGCACAACTCGAGCCTGCTCACCCAAGTTCTTGGGGTCCATTTACACTTTCTCCCGTGCACATCTGCTTTTTCTACTTATCAGAGAAAGGAATCGCAAGAATCAGGTGAGAAGCAAACCAGGTTTTCCAGACTGGTTGAAGGGGCAGGAAGTAAGGCTGGCTAAGGAACGGCCTCAAGGCCTCAGCAGCATCCGCTCATTGGCTCTGGATGCTCTTGTGTTCCATGGATGGGACGTCCAAGATGACGTTTCCTCACAGAGTTTAGATCCTGCCTCCAACTTTGCCCTCGAAACAGGCCTGCCCCATCTTAGAGGGGAGAGTCCAGGACCACATTCTTACTGGTGATTTATACTATCAGCCCCCACCCCCCGCCTTGTGGAGGTGGCAAAAAGCCTGTCTCATGACTGAGACAGCAGCACCGGGAGGGTTGGGTGGGCAGTGCGAACCACGAAAGAGGGGAGTGCACAGCCGTGATCCCCAGCAGAAAACACCTGCTCTTTTCTCTTGCGTCTGCTCTTGAGGTTCTCTTTCTTTCTGGCTCCCACTTTGCAGAGTTGCTCAAAAGGACACCCTCCTGGCTGCTGGCAATCCAGGAGAGCAATGCCGGGCTGCCTTACCCAGCTCTTAGAGCCTTTCTTCCAGCAGATGGTTGACACCAAGGAGTCATGTGACCACTACGCTGGTATTCTGCACCCAGAACCAAGGGACCCTCCAAGGGATGGGGAGGTTGGGCTTGAGCATGCTTTAGTACACCTGCTTGTGAACATTCATGACCATCCAAAGCTGCCTGCCTGAGGGATCTACCTGGGTGAGCAACAGGAGGCAAATAAGGCCGTGGCAAAGGCAGCAGTTTGCACGTGTGTAAGAATTTTCCACTGACATCAGTCCTAGAGTGTGCAAGTTTCTTCAATTTGTGATGTCCAGTCCTGTAAAAACAAACAGAAAAGTTGTTTTGATGTCTGGTCCATTTTGTTGTACTTGAAATAAAACACATTTGGCCTGTTGTAAATAGCATGTCGAATTACTAGTTTTGCTAAGAAATAAAAGCAACTATTTTATTATGAGTTACTCTCATTATTTGCAAATTGGTGGGCTACAGGCCAGATGGGCCTCTGCCCCCAATACAAGATCTGGGAAGCTTTAAATCCTCACCAGAACTAGCCCTTGCCAGGGAAGTGCTGGAACATAATAATTTCCCAAAGTAGCCTTTGGGCGTGTGCAGAGTGGCAAGCGCACCAGCTCACTCTCACCCGGAGGACAGCCCCTCAAACACGAGTGAGGGCTGGGGTCCTTGGGGCAGAGAAGCCAGCCATGCGGCACCCCAGGGCTCCGGGACTCTTTCTGAGAGAAGGTCGCTGCTCTCCCCAGGACTTCCGGAACCAGCGCGAAGAAGCCTCATTCGTCCCATCCGGGCAGGCGAGCGAGGCCAGCGCTGACTCGCTGGGTGCTTCCAGTTTGTCCCACCGCCCCGGACCTGCCCTTTGGGAGCTTGGCCAGGAACGGAGCCAGAAGCCAGGGACAAAGCATCCCACCTTGGTGGGCACAGCGCAGAGGGGAGAGCGAGCATAGATCCAAGCACAGGGCTTGGGAGGGGGGGAGAGCGTCAGGAGGGACCCTATTGGGAGGGCCACCAAAGAGGGATGGGTGGAGAGGGTGAAAGGGGGAGGGAGGATCTGCCCAGGGCTCTCTGACCCAAATAACCTAGGCAACTTGGCATGCTGGGAGCACAAGCCCCTCCTCGGCACTCAGCGAGCTGGCTGGCTGGCTGGCTGGCAGGTGGGGGGGAGGGAGGGAGGGAGGGAGGCCGGCCCGGGGGAAGGTTGGAAGCCCAGAGGCTGGTTCGGCTGCTCCCGGCAAGTTCAGGGGGCCTCCCACCTGGGAGGCCAGCTGTTGGACAGCCTGGGTGCCTCCCGCACAAGTTTCTACTTGACCCACCAGATCTAGCAATGAGGGCATGTCCTGGGTCCCCTCCATGAATCAATGATATCCTGTGGAACCCAGGAGCTGAGCCTTCTCAGTGGCAGTGCCCCCTTTGCAAAACAGCATTCCCCGGAGGTCTGGTAAGGCTTTGAAGACCAGGCTGCTTCCCCAGGCAGTTGGGCCAAGAGGTTAGACCAGCCTTCTCGTGGCCATGCATTTTTGTGACTGGAAGAGGTGATAGGTAAGAGACAGAGAGATGGGGCTAGGCGTGGGTTGTTGTTGTAACTGTTGGGTTTTAACCTTTGTATGCTGTCCAGAGTCCCTGTTGTGAGATGGGCAGCCATATAAATTGGGGAGACAGATAATAAAGTTCCACAAAGGAACTCCAGGAAGAACTGCCTGGGTTTCCGAAGATGCGCATCTCAGCTAACCTGGGATTGGCCACGGCCTTAGGATGTAACTGCCTCATCAAGCCATAACACGGTGGCTTTCAGTGCTGCACCGCATCCATTAAGTCCAGGATGGAATGAGGTGCATCAGTGACTGGAAGACCTGTTTGAAAGAAAGTCCTCTCCTCATCTCACCTCCCACCCCACCTGCCAGTCTGAGCCCATGCTCCTAACAATGGAAAATAGGCAGCCACCAGAGCGAGGAGTTGCAAAGCTTCTCCATCCTCATTCAGCCTGAGTTTACAGGCATAAAAAATGTACTGGGCCACTTGGAAAGAGAGGAAAGCCCCCTCCTAGTTCCAATAGTTGAATTTCACAAGGTCCTCCGCTAGGCTGGAAGAACACTTGAGGTGACCAACATGCGGCCCCGGTGGTCCTGCCTGAAGTCTCACGGCCTCCTTGCGCCTACGGCCTTGCTGCCCTAGGAACACTTCTGCAACAACCTCCCCTCGCCCAAGCCATCTCACTAGGCCCCCCAAGTACCCTGCCAGGCAAGATGCTGTGCAGCAGCAGGAATAAGGGGGGTACCTGACCCCCGCTTGGCACCAGTCCTCCCCACCCTGCCTAGGTGGTCTCCAGGAACAACAGCAGGGCACCGTCTGACCCTCCCTGTTACACCTGGCCCAGGATCTCTCTTCCCCCCACCCCTGGCTAGAACTGAGTGTGTCCCTGCAGCCTTGTGGCCAGCTGCTACTTCTGGGATCCCTGCTAGGCATAAAAGAAAACATCAGGCCAGGCTCTTCCAGACACATTTTATTCAGAAAACCCGGGAAGACATTCCCCTCCCATTCCTTGGGCTGGAGAGGTCCACCTGCAGGAGCGGGGGCAGAGAGGAGAGAAACACCCCCCCCAAACAAGCCCCCAACATCCAGAAAGCAGCCTTCGGGTGCAAGGAAGCTGCTGTCCTACTGGTGACCTGGGACCCTCCCAACACTGTGCCAGCTTCGGGGGAGTCCGAGAGAGAAAAGGCAGGAGCCGAGACCTCAGCCAGGCTTGGTCAGAGGCTGCCTGTGCAAGTCAGCGGCGGCAGCGGTGGCACAGCAGGATGGCACTGCGGGCGTGGAAGGGGGCAGGAACAGATAACTGAATGATGAAGACGACGGGGAGTAAGGGGCTTTCACCCGCCAGCACCCTGGGACCATGGCGAAAACTGCCCTGGATCCTGCCCCCGAGGGAGAGCCGCTTGGCACTGGGTTGGGGGCTGGAGAGTCCGGCTGCCCACCACCGAGGAGCCTCACGAGTAGGTATCTGCAGGGCCTGTGGGGCAGCGGAGGAAGGGGGAGGGGCAGGGTGGTGAGGGAAGATGGCCTGAGATTCTGAAGGGAGCCTCAGCTACGCCAGCCCCATCTCCTCCAACACACTTCGGGGTGACTCGTCCTCCTGCAGGAAGGATGAAAGGGGGAGAATCAGCACAGGGGTCCCTGACCCAAATGACCTAGGCAACTCGGCATGCTGGGAGCACAACCCCCTCCCTGAGAGATAGTTGTGAGAAGGCACTCTGCACACACTCAGCATGCTCCTGAAATTTCACCTAGCAGCACAGCTGTTCCAGTTGCTAGAAGGAACCCAGCATCCCACGTGCCCCCGGAGGAGCCAGGTGACTGTGGCAGCTCCTCTCCCCTCCCCTCCCCTCCCCAACGCTCACACTACAGCTCTGCGGGAGCTGAGTCGCCCACACCGGCTACTGCGGGAGCGCAAGCAGAGCACAGCCGTGCCCGTGGGTGACTCATGGGATGCAGCCAGCCAGCAA